TTTCTTTCTTTCTTTCTTTCTTTCTTTCTTTCTTTCTTTCTTTCTTTCTTTCTTTCTTTCTTTCTTTCTCTTTCTTTCTCTTTCTTTTTTTCTTTCTCTTTCTTTCCCTTCCTTCCTTCCTTCCTTCCTTCCTTCCTTCCTTCCTTCCTTCCTCTCTCTCTCTCTTTCTTTCTTTTCTTTCTTATTTTTTTAGATGGAGTTTCGCTCTGTCGCCAGGCTGGTGTGCAGTGGCGTGATCTCGGCTCACTACAACCTCCACCTCCCGGGTTCAAGCTATTCTTCAGCCTCAGCCTCCCAAGTAGCTGGGATTACATCCCACCCTCGTGGCCCAGGCCTCCCCAGGCTGCGCTGTCCTTACTGCAATGCTGTCCTGGGCTTGGACACCTGCCTCGCCTTTGGTAACCCACAGGCACACGGGTGCACACGTGGGCCTTGCACTCCCTGTGCTTCAGCTCCATCAGCCCCAGATCCGGGTAGAGGGCTTGCTCCATCGCCTTGCTCCTGTTTGGGCAGATCTCTCACCTGTGCCTGCCTCCTCCCCCAGGTGAGCCTCCACGTGCAGAAGCAGGCCTGGACGCCAGTTATGTGGTCCTCCTTGTGGTGGCCATCTTTACGCTGGTGGCGGGGGCAGCCACCTTTCTGATTGTGCACTACCGGAGAATGAATGGGAGATACAACTTTAAAATCCAGTCCAACAACTTCAACTACCAGGGGTTCTACGAATAGGAGGCGCAGGCTGACAGGAAGGTGGGTGCGGAGTGGGGACGTCTGATATGCGTGTCCTGCCTTGGCCACCCACGGTGATGGGGACGGCAGAGCGGGATTTGGCCTAAGGGTGGATTTGTGTATGTGTCTGGGTTTTGTGGCCCTTTACGTGGCGTGCAGCCTCCCTTCTGAGAAAGCAACCATGAGCAGGCACAGAGGGGAAACTACAGGCAGACTGGTGAAGGTTTAGTCGCTTCACACACCCACTGGACTGGCTCCGTGATACCAGCAGCAGTGCTATGTGAGTGACTGCAGGACCCAGGGGCCTACCACAAATCCCGTCTCTGCCACCCACTCTCTGGGCCGCCTAAGCAAGGTCCTGAGCCTCTCGGTGCCTCGGTTTCATCATTTGTAAAAGAAATTATGGTAACAGTCCCGGCCATATAGAGGGTGTGACATTCAAATGGGAAGATGCCCAAGAGGCCCCGCTACGGGGTCCGACGCCCTCGATCACTGATGGATCCTAATGATGGTCCTCAGCCGAGTGTCCCTGAAACCTGGCACTCGCAGGGATTGTCACGTGTGGTGTGGATGCCACAGTGGATTCCCCACACCTTGCTACTCAGGCCCACACCCCCAACTTACGTATGTCCTTTTGAGGCTGAAGATGCTTCTCTGATCTGCCCCTGTGGACTTTTGTGTCTCCTGGGCTTGCACATAGTTCACCACAAATGAATGACAAGCATTATGGAGGGCAGTATCATTGGTATAAACCTTCAGTGGGAAATGCCAAGACTGTGACTTCTGTAAAGATTTTCAGAATTTTTTATTTTTTTGAGATGGAGTTTTGCTCTTGTTGCCCAGATTGGAGTGCAATGGCGTGATCTCAGCTCACCGTAACCTCAGCCTCCTGGGTTAAAGCAATTCTCCTGCCTCAGCCTCCCAAGTAGCTGGAATTATAGGCATGCACCACCACGCCCGGCTAATTGTGTATTTTTAGTAGAGACAGGGTTTCTCCATGTTGGTCAGGCTGGTCTTGAATTCCCGACCTCAGGCTATCCACCCGCCTCAGCCTCCCAAAGTGCTGGGATTACAGGCGTGAGCCACCGTGCCAGGCCAAATTTTGAGATTTTTCTAAAAAAAGAACATGGCTGTAATCCTAGCACTTTGGAAGGCCAAGGCAGGAAGATCGCTTAAGCCTAGGAGTTTGAGACCAGCCTAGGTAAGACAGAAAGACTCCATCTCTACAAAAAATGCAAAAATAAGCTGGGTGTGGTGGCACATGCCTGTGGTCCCAGCTACTCAGAGGCTGAGCTAGGAGGATCGCTTGAGCTCAAGAGGTGGAGGTTGCAGTGAGCTGAGACTGCCCCACTGCACTCCAGAGGGAGACCCTGCTTCAAAAATAAATAAATAATAATAAAAGAAGAAGAGAAGCACTCACGAGGCTTATCTGGCAGCGTGTGAGACTGTTGACTACAGATGCTGCACGGCCAGCACAGCGGCATCGGCTTCCTGGGAGGCCTCAGGAAACTTACAGTCATGGCGGAAGGCCAGGGGGAAGCAGGCACCTCTCCCATGGCTGGAGCAGGAGGAAGGGGTCAGGGCAGGTGCTACAGACGTTTAATCAACCAGATCTTATGAGAACTCTATCATGAGACAGCACCAAGGGGATGGTGCTAAACCATTTATGAAGGATCCATCCCATGATCCAACCACTTCCTACCAGGCCCCACCTTCAACAAGGGGATCACATTCAACATGAAATTTGGGTGGGGACACAGATCCACACCATATCAACTGCCCACCATCTAAGCCAACAGGAGAACAAGGAAAGACGAGAGGCCAATTTTCCCTTGAATGTTTTAATTTCGAGGAGGGGGACATTCAGCATGACCTTGGCACCAACCCACCAGATTTCCTTAGAAAGCTAGCAGGACAAGTGTTGGCCT